ATCCAAAATTTAACAGAGAGACTATTTATGGAATACTTTTAGAGTTCAAGGACAATTCATAAGAAAAATTAACCACAGGGACTAATTGTAGAAAGAGAAAAAATTTTAGGAACTATCTATGAATTTAACTTTTAAATTAATTCATGACATATTGACACATGAAAACATCAATATTGTATCTAAGTAAGAAAACATATCACTGTAAGTTCTATAAAAAGTGGTAATATCAATTTTTTCAATTTCAATTCTTTAAACCTTTTTGGGATGCTTGGGAAAAATTTTCAAAATTTGGAATAGATGATTGACCATCTTCTTCAAATTGTTTGATCTTGAATATTTTTTTCTTTTAAAAAATGCATCAATTGTTAGCTTCTAAATGAAGAATAGTAATTCAGAACTGAAAATAAATTTTAAGACCTCATATAAATTACACTATATAAATCTAGTCTATTATACACATATATGTTATTATGCTAACTTATTTTTTTAATAGAAAATTATAGTTTCTATTTTACAATTTAAGTATAAAATCTAACTAAAAAACTTAGTTACATTTATGTATATAACCTTTTTATTTTTCAAAATCTAAATGGTTGGCCCAATAAAATGTAGAGAACTATTAATTTAAAGGGAGACTAATTTATACACATATTTACTATAGTAAAATTAAAACCATTACATTAAAGGAAAAAAAAAAGCTAGGGGGGCTAGGGTGGCCATGGCCCCCTAGCTCGGTCATTATATGGTAGCGACACGACACCGCTTCAGACTCGTCTTGACAAGGTCTTTCCAATGAGCTAGGAAGTGTCGAAAACCGATGTCGGATGGGTCACCGGAGTAGGTGGCCGCACACGATGAAAGATGAAGCAAGAGAGAAAGAGAGGAAGAGAGAGAGTAATTTGTAGAGAGAGAGGAGAGAGTTTTTTTTTTTTTTTTTTTTGACATATGAGATGAATAAATTTGACATTTTGTGTCCCAAAGAATACATTAGAAGGTACCAAAACACATCTTTTAAAACATTAAGGTACCCGTATGAAATTATCAAAAATACATGGTACTAAACTCATATTTCGATATAGTACAAGTTACCAAAATGAAATTTTCCTAATAGTTGTTTCACATTTTCATTTTCTAATACTATAACTTAAGGGAATTTCTCAGATGTTCCCTCTTGTTTGAGAACACCGATGTTCCATGCTTATCAGTCATCAGATTTGTATTATTTTTTAATATGATTTGACTTTTAAACAGATTTAATACAGATCCGACGACTAATAAATAGGAAACACCAGTGTTTTTAAAAAAGAAAGAACACCATAGAAAGTCCCATAACTTTATAATTGTTTTGTTTTCAAAAAAATATTTAAACACAACCTCATTTTTCTATATCTAAAATAAATATTAAGAAAAATAACCAAAATGTAATTTCAAAAATAGTCGCAAATATCATTTTTAAAAAGTTCTCATTTTCATTTTCATATTCAAAACAAAGGATTTTCTCCGGTGTTTTCTCTGTTTTAGGAACACCTTTGTTCCCTGTTTTTTAATCGTTAGATCTGTATTATAATCTGTCTATTCTGCATACTTTTTCAATCTGGTGTGATTTTGATCAGATTTAACGGTTGAAAAAGTAAAGAACACTGGTGTTTTTAAAAAGGAGAGAATAATAGAGAAACTCTCTCAAAACAAAACTATTTTAAAAGAAAAATGATTATGAGCACCATCAATTTTAACCACCATCACTAATAAAATGCGGGCTCTGTATATCAGCTCTACTCAGAGTCAGTGAGACCAACTCTTTATTAGTTAACAGTGCTTAATAATATTGGTGGCAATTAGTATTACTCATTTTGAAAATCCTATCAAATGGGCGTGTTTTTCATTCTTTGAAAAGTTTTGTCATTTTATTATTTCCAGAACATCCAAAAATGAAAAAACTGCTACTACATACACTTTCTTTAATTAAAGTCGAGCTGTTGGATTTCTAGCAAACAGTCGAGCTGTTGGATTGTAGTCTATGGGCTCAGCCCATAAAAACAGATGGAAGAACGTTGGTTTGGACACGACACATTTCAGTGTTGGACCCAACTTTTCTTATAAATGAAGTCTGAGAAGAAAAAAGTCAAATCAACAAATAAAAAAGAACATTGACAGTAACTGAAGAGCAACAAAACCACTGCCGGAACACCAGAAACATTAAACAGCGGTATTTGGTCTTTCGGCAAATATTAAACAACATTAACCTCCCCAAAACAACAATTCCAATTCCAATTCCAGTGGGCTCTTTTCTTTTTAATTTAATTGCCTATAAATACGCGCCTCCTTTCCCTTATTCTTCATCTTTCTTCTACGACTGTTCATTTTCTGCTGCAAAATCACTTTTTTTTTTAAATAAAAAAGAAATATCTTGTTTGAGTTTCTGTAATGGCTTCTCTTTTGCTTCTGTTGTCTGAACTTGTCAGCCACCGCAACGCCGACCCAGATTTCTGGATCGCTCTTTCTTCTTCTTCTTCTTCTTGTGGTCCTGCCTTTTGTCCATCTTCAACTGCAACAAAATCCATGGAGATGGAGATCAGAGACAAGTACTGGTCTGATTTATCAGAAGAGATGAAGATTGTTCAACAAAGTCTCCACGAGTCTAGAGTCTCAGTCGACTTAGTTTGGCCTTGAAATCATGAATGTTACTTTGAAGTTTGTAATCTATTTATTTTTATTTTTATTTTTATTTTTTGCTTTCTGGGCTCGAGATCAAATGAAGTTTATAAAATTTCAAAGGGAAAAAAAGAGACAATTTAGATTCATACACTCTTAAAAAAAAATTCTGTAATTTTCTCAAATTTTTTTACTAATGACTTTTTATTGATAAGTTGGAACAATGTAAAATATTTTTGTTTGTTTATTTATTTATTTATTGAAGGAGAATAAGGATAAAACAAAGAGGTGTCAACGGTCAATCACTAATGCTCTTATATACAATAAAAGACTCTTAGGGCTCGTTTAGTTCGTTGATTCGAATTTTTAATTTGAATTGAGATGTGATTTTATATGAAAGGTTTTTACTGTAACAAAAAAGTTAAAAGCGATTGTTTGTAAGAGTTTTTTACTGTAACAAAACTCAAATCAACGAAATAAACGAGACATTACTTTATCTTGCGCTATAAGTGCTTGTAACAATTAGGTCACATTCGTCTTTAAAATATACTCGCTCCTCTTTAAAATTGTATGATTGTATGATGAAATTTCAGATAATTTTTTTTAAAAAAAACTTTAAATTCTTCTCCGGAAGAATGAACACAAAAGCTATTCACAAATATTTTTCTGATATTTTGTCTGAAAAGTCATCTCAAATAAACTGTCTTGGTAGTATTTATATCGATCAACATAAACTCCTTAATGTCGATTAATTAATTCAAGTCACACTCGAATTGAAAAATCAGCATTTATTTAGGCCCTGTTCACTTCGCTGATTCGAGTTTAGAGTTCGAGTTGAGATGTGACTTTATGTGAGAGCTTTTTACTGTAGTAAAAAAATTAGATGTGATTATTTGTGAGAGTTTTTTACTGTAGAAAAACTCGAATTCTAAACTCGAATTAGCGAAGTGAACGAGGCCTTAATGTGCTTGACCGGATATTCTCAAATCCAAGAAAGTTTAGAGATACGCTTTGAGGATATATATACCTAGCTATAACTTCAAATCCTCAAATCTTGTTAAACTTTTAAACCGAATTTTCTTTTGGATGAAAGAGAGAAATATGTTAAGACTTGAGATAAATTAAAATTAATAGGCCATAGTTTACATAAGTTAATAAATAGGTTAAATTACTGTTTTCGTCCATAACTTGTCTGGTTATGAACCATAACTTGACAAGTTATTGTCCATAAATCACGGTTTTTGTCCATAACTTGTCTGGCTATGAATGATAACTTGACAAGTTTGTCCATAACTTATCTGGTTATGAACTATAACTTGACAAATTATAGCATATTAATTTCTATAACTAAAAGTTGGCCTATATATTTCTTTAAACTTTTCATATTGGCCTATTTTCTACTATTTTTGTTTTCTTTTTGACCAAATCAAACCTTGAAATTCAAACCCGGATTTTGGATTCTAACTTGCACAGCACAATAAGCTTCAACCTGTTCACTTGTTTTTTTTGAATTAGACTTCTTGTTGCCAATAAAACGTGCCAACACTACAAACCCTAACAGCCAAAAAGCTTTTTGGGACATTCTTTTGTATTAGAAGTAGACCATTGAATAAGTTGCAAAGCTTTGACAATTGAGAATACGAGGAGTACTTTGGGTGTTGTGGTTAACCCAAATCTTATGCATACATATATAACCAATACTCTTGATTGGATATTTAGGACAGACATGTATGTATTTTTTGTTAATGAGTGGAGAAGACTATAAGGGCCGTGAATTAGATGGGGTCTAGTGAGAAGTCAAGGTGAAGAGATAATTACGCTAGGTGCCATGGCTTTACCATGTGGATCGAATTATGCCGGACAACTCAAACTCTCACATTTAACGCCATGGGTCAGAATAAAGAATGCATTGTACTTACTATTTCATAAGCGCGTAATTTGACATAGTTTTTCAAGTAATTTTCTTATTTTCTCGTTTAGTTCTCGAGTATTTTGTGTTTTAATTGTATTTTTGTGTTTTGTAGGTGTTCTAGAGATTAAAACAAGTTTGGAATCTCAAAATGAAACATTTTGGATGAATTCTGAGTGACTAGGCTTCAAAAACTGACACCACGACGCGCGCTCTAATGCATAATTCTAAGCCATTTCTCGAGACCAGAGCGTTTTCGCTTCTCCTAAGAATGCATACTGAAGGTGGGATGGCAAAGGCTTCAACTCTAAGACTAGGGGTTCTTCTATAGATGGCTTAGGTGGTTTGAGCTCACGTTCGGATAGACCCAAAGGCTTAAACTGCCTTCCTCAAGCTGTACGGTTGACCCTGATTCCAACCAAGCCAACTGGCTACTCAATTATGAAGTTTCTTCTTCCAACTCTACCAATGCTGAGATGTCTAGAAGGTCTTTGGAGCAAGCTTGCTCCAGCTCCTTCAAAGCACTAGTATCAATTACATCCACCACAAAGCATTCTTCCACTTCATTAGGAAGTCTCATTGACTTGAGGACGTTAAAAGTGACCTGCTCATATTTGACTCTCATTGTCAACTCCCTTTTTTGCACATCTATTAATGTCCTCCTTGTTGCTAGGAATGGTCTTCCTAAAATGATGGGCATTTCCCTGTCAGCTTCATAATCCAAAATAATAAAATCAACACGAAAGATGAACTTGTCTACTTTCACCAGGACATCTTCAATTTTCCCTTTTGGATGAGCTAGAGATCGATCAGCCAATTGAAGAGTTATTGTGGTTGGCCATGCTTCCCCAATTCCAAGCTTCCTGAAAACTGACATAGGCATAAGATTTAAGCTTACTCCTAAATCACAAAGAGCCTTTCCAAAGTAGTTATTGCCAATTGCACATAGGATGGTGAAACTCCCAGGATCTTTTAACTTTAGAGGGATTTTATTCTGCGAGATGACGCTGCTTTCTTCTGTCATTGCCACTGTTTCAAATTCTCCAAGCCTTCTTTTCTTCGAAAGAATGTCCTTCACGAATTTCACATAACTAGGCATTTGCTCAAATGCCTCCACCAATGGAATGTTAATATGAAGCTGCTTCAAGACATCTAGAAACCTTTAAACTATTTATCTTGTTGTTGCTTTTGGAATCTTTGAGGAAAAGGTGGTGGTGGTCTGTTATTCTGCCTTTCTGCTGCACTTTGTTGCAGCATTGTTGTAGGTTCTGTTATTGAAGGAAAGTCGGAATTGGGAGGATGAAAAGAATAGAGAAAGCAGAAAGAGGGTTTGAGGCGTATAGGAATACTTTCCTTTAAGGTTTTATTTGCCCTCACTTCTCAAAGTTTGCTAACGAGTTCTAAATGGCAAATTACCCCCAAGATACAACAAACCCTTGAACACAATATCCAGCAAAAATATTGAGTTCCAGAACAATTATATTATCTGTATTTTTTGAAGTCCATCATATAAAGACAGGGATGCATCCATCATCTTTAAGTGTTACAACCTTTCACATAAAGATACCTTTTCAATTTGATGGTTATATTTTATATGCTGATGCACTTATAACAATAGTTATTTCTATTGTTAATAAGTGCTCAGATATGTGAGAAAACATATCACAAACAGGTGCAATGGTTCGAGACCTTTTCAGATCACTAAAACACACGAAAACACATTTTCCGTCGACAATTTGCGCTGCAGCGCGCGGGCTTAGCAAAAACAGACCCGGGAGGTCTATTTTGCGCAGGCTGCAGCGCCCAAATGCGCGCTGCAGCGCGCGGGCCTAGCAAAACAGACCCGAGAGGTCTGTTTTGCGCAGGCTGCAGCGCCCAAGCGCGCTGCAGCGCGTCCGTACGCTACAGCGCGCACTCCTTCGCGCTGCAGCGCGTACTTACGTCAGCCTACTCTTCTCGAATGTGTTTTAATCCAATTTTGTGATATCAAGATTGAGAGATATATTACAATCTCTCTAACATCTGCAGCATCACTTTGTTTTTCTGACTCTTCCACTTTTTCTTCCTTTTCCACTTTACCTTGGATTGAAAAGGGCTCTTTTGGCGATTGGGTTGTCTAGTCATTTGCTCTAATTCTCTCTCATTCCTCAGCGCATAGCCTTGCAATGTTCCTTACCTTCACGCTTAGGATCTTTAGTATTGCTTGGGAGTGAGCCTTGAGGATGACTAGTCAAGGCATTAGATAACTGCCCCATTTGATTCTCCAAGTTCCTCAACGAAGGTGCCTGGTTCTGAATTAGTGTTGACTGATTTTGAATAATGGTGTCATTCTTTGCCATGTACTCCTTCAACAAGTGCTCAATCGACGAGTGTTGTTCCACTAGTTGATGTCTCAGTTGTTGTGGAAATCCTAGAGGATGTTGAGGGTGGTTTGCTATTGATGATGATGATGTGTTATCAGTATTGGAATACGGAGTGTTATTTTGTTGAAGTTGCCCACATAACATGCTGATTCCGGGTAGGATGGACAACTATCAAAGAGATGCCCTTCACCACAGTAAGTACAAGAGACCGCTGTAAATTGAGGATAATTCACCCCCTGAGTCATATTCATTGATTTCAATATACTTGTCAAGGATGACACTTGAACGGTTAAAGCTGTCACCGCATCCACTTCATGAACTCTTGTTACTCTCCTAGCTACGGCTGCTCTCTTTGTAGGCCATTGATGGTTATTATTGGCCATCCGTTCCAAAATGTCATAAGCCTCATTATAAGACTTTGCCAAAATAACACCATTGGTTGAATCATCTACTATGGTTCGAGTTTGCCCATTAAGTCCATTGTAGAACGTCTCCATATGAATCCAATGAGGAATCCTATGGTGAGGGTATTTGTGCAACAATTCTTTTAACCTTTCTCATGCCTCATACAAAGATTTCCCTTCTTGTTGCTGAAATCTGGTGATGTCATTTCTAAGCTTGGCATTCTTGGTTGGAGGAAAATACTTCATCAGAAACTTCTTTGCCAATTCATTCCAAGTTGCTATAGATTCCGGTGGTAGAGAGTTTAACCATGCTCTAGCTCTATCTCTCAAGGAATAAAGGAAGAACTTCAGTCTCAAAACTTCTTCTGTTACCCCTGGAAGCTTAAAAGAATCACAGTGCAAGTGAGGATCCTCGGTTGCCATTCCACTAAATTGCCCCACCGTTTGTAGCATCTGAAACATGATAGGCTTGAGTTCAAATTGGGGCGTCTATACTTCTGGCCTAACAATACTTAGGTTGAGCCCCTACAGCATAGGCACTGTGTACTCCCTGATAGCACTGTCTTTGTCGTTTGCCATTGTTGCCTAGTTAACTAGATTATTGACATTTACTAGCTACCCAACGTTGGCTGCATTGCCAGTAGCTTCCTCTAACATTCCTTCAACAACCGCTAAACCTTGCTGCTCCCTTCTCCTCGCTACGAATGTTCTTTCAATTTCTGGGTCTAAGGGCAGCAATTCACGGTCTTGTTGTCGATTCATGCGAGAGAAAAAGTATCTGAAATAGAAGAAAACAAAATTGTCAAGTAAAATAACAGAAAAACTTGAATTTTACAAAGATCAATAATGATTGGTAAAATTCACTACGTAAGTGCATGTGCCGAACAAGTAATAAAGTGAATGACTAGAGTATCGTTCCCACGGAAAAAGTTACTAATATTTTTCTTAATAAGATCCAAGAGATGCAATGTAAACAAATTTAATAGTTTGATTCCACTACACAGACTAAAGAGAATTACAGTAAATAGAAGTAAATAAATGCACACTCAGTTGTCAAAGGTAAAAATCAATCTGTATGAAAGGACTAGGACTCAATTTCTCCTTCACTGCAACTTGGGCTATGTATGCTACAACTTTTGTTATATCAATATTGTCAGTTAACCTGAAACACGAATTTACACAGAGTCTTCCGTTCTACTTATGATTTTACATCTTTACTTAAATTTGAACATATTCCTATGAAAACTCTAAACAGAGAGGTTGTATTAAGCATGGGTTTCAATTGGGTTATGTGAGACAAGTGTATATTCATATACTACTCGCGAATCAGCTAGATCTCTTTGTGAAATTAAGCTAAACACACACTGTTCAATATTGGTCTAATTCTTATCAACTTTCCAGCAAATTGAAATCACTATTTTGTTTATGATGGCCGGTCAATAAACAAAAAAATGAACAAGAGATTATATTGAACAAACTAATCACTACCAATATAGCTTAAGTAAGCATACACAACGTCAAATTACAGATCTAGGTATTTTATCATCCTAGCCAAATAAATTTAGCTCATAATTATTCTGTTAAGTGCAACAAAATAGACAGCCATGGTTTAAGTACAGAAGAAGAGAAAGGATAAACCAAAATGAGGAGAATAACAGTAAAGATAAAATAAAGCTTAGTACTCTCCTCTTGTGGCTTCACTCCTTGAGATTTCCAGCTCCAAATTCTTCTCCTCCCTTTAAATCGTCTAAAACTCATGAAAAATCATGTATGTCAGTCTATTATATTAACCACAACTCTAACATGCTTCCAAGATAATCATATCCGAAAATTATTAAAACATGCGTCATACAACAACTCTCATCAACACCTAAGTAGAAATCATATATAACTCAAATAAATCATGAAAACAACCTAAACGTGTTTCTAATATAATCAACATTAAATAAAAATTTAAATAAACAAAATAGAGGATTAACAATCACATAGGCGTAAAAGAAATTCTAAGCATGTCATTCTATCAATCAATAAAAATTAACATCGTGACAAAATTAAAAACTTAGCGTCCAAAACTATAACAGTCTCATAACACTTTCCTCAACAATAACGTCACAACCATCATACACAAAACTATGAAGATATATGAACATTTTCCTCCATCAATAACAAAAACACGAAATATCATGAGAGGAACACATACCTTTAAAACAACCTTTCCGTGTTCTTCTTAAGAGAATAAAGGAAGATAATGAAAAATTCTATGGTGGCTAGGTCTCTTGAGAAAAAGTGATAGAGAGAGGTATGAGAGAGAGAGAGAGAGAGAGAGAGAGAGTAGGAGCTTGAGGGAGAGAAAGCGTAAAAATTTTCTAATAGGATGGAGTATGAGTGATGTGGCCCCATTCATTTCGCTGATTCGAGTTTAGATTCGAGTTTTGCTACAGTAAAAAGCTCTCAGAAACAATCACATCTAACTTTTTTGCTACAGTAAAAAGCTCTCACATAAAGTCACATCTCAACTCAAATTAAAAACTCGAATTAACGAACTGAAGAGGCCCTTGTTGGTTATTCTAAACTTAAAAGTTAGGCTGTTAGTGCATGTGAAAACGTATGATTCAAAAGGAGTATTTTTTTTTCTTTTCTTTTCCCTCCTCTGACATCCACGCTAATCCTCCTTTTCTTGCATTGACTATGTAAATGGCTAAATTATATCAAAGGAAAAGCTATATATATCCAAAGCATGAATCTGCCCATTTTACTTCTTATTGTACGAGTATGGGTATATTTGCAAGTTGTCTACTGACTGCCACTAAGCCAAATATAGAAAGAATCATGCAATATATGTCAGCTCAATTAAGAAAATTAATTGACTTGAATTGGGTGATTGATGGGCGGTCAACGAGGTAGAAATTGTGTTGCAAACCATGATCAAAGTTTCTTTATACGGTCATTGGCTCCAAAGACATCAAACTAATCCTCACCTTTAACAATTCAGCATAGGACCAATCATCACTAACAAAGTGCAATAACATAAACGGTGGTTGGCTATTGATATTTTATATGTATATATATATATATAATATATATATATATAATATATACATAACTATATAAATTTAACATAAAATTGAACGTATATGTATGTTTGTTTCGTAATATAACATATAACCAATTTGTATTTAAAACTTGACATATATATCTAATATGTATTTTGTAATACCATATATCTATATAATTATTAATGGTATTAAATCAACACACATATCCATCAAATCATCATATAAAATTTAATAATTTGGCATGAATTTGTCCTTACATCACGAGCCCTCGTCGCAATCACCTACTCAACATGATGTTAGAATTAACTAATTATAACACAATGACATCATTTAAATTAATTCATAACGTCTATTTCTATGAATTTGTCAGTTAAAAAAATGGTGTTACATCCTATTCCACTTTCAACACATAGCAACAAACAGAAAAATGAGAGAGAGAGAGAGAGAGAGAGAGAGAGAGAGAGAGAGAGAGAGAGAGAGAGAGAGAGAGAGAGAGTGAGTTGAAGATGACGGGTGGTAAGAATACGACTACATCTCTGCTAGTGATAGCATTGGTGATTATGGCCTGCTTGGTCTCATCTTCCTTTGCTCGAAAGATCGACGAGGATGCGATTCGTGCCGTCATGTTTTCAAGGGAGAAGTTGGGTAATGAGTGCAGAGTGCCTGGTGAATATTGTAGTAAATGGGAAGATAAACGTTGTTGTGAAGGGCTTCATTGCGAAGGTCCAATCATTGGTGCGTCTCAAACGTGTGTGCCCTGCGATTATTGTAAAAGAGAAGGTCAGTTTTGCTCAGTATTTGGTACGGGAGGTTGCAACCCGCTTCGATGCATGGGTAAACCGGGTGTTTGTGAGCAGTTTAGTTCCATCAAGGAAGTTGTGTAAGGCTAAAATTTGTAATATGTATGAATACATATATATATATATATATATATCTGTGTGTGTGAATAGAATAAATATGTCGCACTGCAGAGCACTGTCTCTCAGGAGACTACGTATGGACTTATTCCAATGTGTATTTGTAAGGATTGTATCCTCATGTTGTATTGTAATATTTATGTGTTGTGCATGCTTTTCAGACTATTGTGTTGAGATTTGTTATGTTGATTCTCGTGATTTCTCTTGCACGGTTTTCTCAAAATGGCTACTATTCTTTCTTAGCAATCCGTGGGTCATATAATACTTTCCATTTCACCGAACCTTCCGCTTGTGTTCTCGGCGAAGAAGTGATCTTCAAGCTGGAAGAAGAATATGGTACAAAGCCATATTGGTAATAACCTTAATGCATTTCCCCCGCTTCAACATGTGCGTGACGATGTCATGGATTCGACGTTTTCCTTCTTTCTTAAATCACTTTCATGTCCTTTGGCATAATGCATGATTGTCACACAGTCAAGAATCTATTTTTAATAACAAAACATAAATTAAGAATAATATTTGTCACTTTGATTTCCATGAACCCTAAAAAATACAGGTCTTATATTAGTAGGCTCGGTCTCCTTGGGAATGAGCACCACAAAAGTTCTATTGAAAACTTCTGATGAATCCCCTTCAATAAGAACATCTTTAACGAGCTACCACCAGATCACCCCCAACTATGTTCCAAGTCTGGGTCAATGTGGTCTGTCATCAATATATATATATATATATATATATAGATATATGTTGCTTCAATGTGTGTGCATGTATATGTATATTTTCATTATACACCAAGGGTCAATATTCATAATCAAACAAAATTTATTCATACATTTCCTTTTAAGAAAAATATGGACGCCCCTACAGCCTACCAAATATATATGCATATGTATTGAATCAAACGCAATAATGGGGTCATTAGGAAATGCCAACCTCCCAAATGTTGAACAACCTTCAATATTATGTTGGTTTGTCATTGTCACAAGGACATATAAACCCCTACATGTAATTAATATTCTTCATATTAGTATAATTTTGAGGCTAAGAATATGAATCATAGGAAGAAGTTATATATAGAAGCTGCGCGACTTGACATATCATTTGTTGTTTTACAATGTATATATCTAGCTCCCCACTTGGTATCAGAGCCAAGGTTATGAAGTTGGTATAATGGTTAATAGTGTTTTTCAGATAATGTTATTAGTAAATTTCATCAGAGTAATATTAATATCAATTTACTCTT